GAGCATGCCACTGCACTCCAGCCTGGGTGACAGAGTGAGACTCCAACTCAAAAAAAAAAAAGAGAGAATGGAGATTGTTCAAGCCAAACTAATAGAAAAATTTGCCCCACCCCAATTTTCCTCCCTGGAAACTGAGTCTGTACACATTGTGTCTCAGAAGTGCTGTAGGCTGCAAGCCTGGCTTGGGGCACATAAACTGTCTGCGGGCAGGCTGTGGATCTGAGTGGCCAAGACCACCTTGATTTCAAGCTGCTCTTCCCTGCCGCACTCGCTTCTCACAAGATCTCAGCACCTGGCACCTGAGCACTGTATTTTGACTTATCTGGGGACAAAAGGGATATACCAGTCTCAAACAGTGACACACAGTCAGGTGAGCATGGATCCCACAGCAAATGAGATGCAAGAAGCCTCTCTTGTTAGGCTCAGGGGAAACGCATGCCATAGATATCAACGGGGCTGGTCCTCAGGCTGGCTGGGGGAGAAAACAGATGGGGAGCAGGAAGAGGCTGTCTTCTAGGCTGATGATCTCCAGCCATCTTCCATTCTCTATTCCTTCCCCTTTGGGCATTGTGACATTCCTTCTTCCAGAAGCCTGCTCTCAGGAAAGGCTTTTTTCCCTCATTCATTCTAATGTTAATGTGAGTTTGAAATAAACTCCCATGGAGTCATATTAGAAATACTCCTTTTAGCTGGACTTGGTGGCTCAGCCTGTAATCCCAGCACTTTAGGAGGCCGAGGAGAGTGGATTGCCTGAGCCCACGGGTTCGAGACCAGCCAGGGCAACTTGGTGAGACCTTGTCTCTACAATTAAAAAAAAAAAAAAAAAAAATAGAATTAGCCAGGTTAGTTCCAGCTACTTGGAAGGCTGAGGCGGAAGAATCGACAGAGCCCAGCAGGTCGACGCTGGGGTGGCCCTGAATGTGCCACTACACTCCAGCCTGGGTGACAGAGTGAGACTCCAACTAAAAAAAAAAAACAAAAACAAAAAAAAACAAATACTCCTTTCTAGCAAGTAAAGCAGAGATCATTGGTTAGTTTTGAAATTTTTAAATCTAAGGAACACATGACCAACAAACTCACAGAATGTCCATATCACAGGCAAAATCATGCAACCCGCATGATCAGTAACTCAGAAGGAATGCAGGAGGTGGAAGAATTTGGCCTATAAATGGTTCTTTCTCCTAATTGGAAATTGTCCACTGCTGAGTCAGACAGTAAACCAAGAGAGGTACGCCATCTTATTGCAGACTAGATGAGGAAGGACAAGGGGAGATGGAAGGAGTCAGAAAAGGGATGGGCGCAGAAGCCCTAACTTCACAACAGTTAGTGACACTTATTAGACAGCATCTTTAAAGTCATATGTGAACTCTCCTTCTATAACACTTTTTTTTCTCCTCAGGGGCACCTGAATCTGAGGAGGACATGCAGAGTCTTATCCTCTGAGTGTCCTTTAGAGGACCCACTGCTTCTTATGGGACTTATTATGTACAGGAGACAGACCATGTTTTGTGCAGTGGCATGCTCATGCTACCTCAGCCTCGACCTGCTGGGCTCAGGTGATCCTTCCGTCTCAGCCTTCCAAGTAGCTGGAACTACAGGCACATGCCACCATACCCAGCTAATTTTTTTTTTTTTTTGGTGAGTAGGAGTCCCACCCTGTTGTCCAGGCTGAAGGGCTATGGCACGCTCATGGCCACCGCAGCCTCGACCTGCTGGGCTCTGGTGATTCTTCCACCTCAGTCTTCCAAGTAGCCAAAACTACAGGCATGCGCCACCATACCCGGCTAATTTTTCTTGATTTATTGTAGAGACAAGGGCTCGTCAAGTTGCCCAGGCTGATCTCGAACCCCTGGACTCAGGCAATTCTCTCACCTCCGTCTCCCAAAGTGCTGGGACTACAGGCATGAGCCACCATGCCTGGCTTGTTTTGCTTTTGTAAACCACATGAGCCTGCCACCCTGGCCACAGCTGATTGCCAGTTGGGGCCTGAATGAAGGGCAGCTGTCTGCAAAGAGGTTAGCAGCAGCCTACAGGGTGGTATGGAATAGGACCAGGGATACTCATTTCATAGTGGCTATAGGATCCAGAGTAAGGCTTTCTGGGAATACCTGAATGAGACACAGAGGGGAATTGCTGTTGATCAATAGAGCATCATGGAATCTGATAGACATAGGGGAAACTGTAGAAAGTAGAAGCCACAGGGTAGAGGGCCCCATAAGCAAGAGGAAGCCCTCAAGCAGAGGCATGGATTTCAAATAAAGTCAGAGAAGCAAGCAAAGCAAAACAAACAGAGCTGGAGACTCTGAGACATGAGTCCAGCCAACTTCTAGATGCTGGTAGAGCCATAGAGCTATTGTGTGACTATGTATCCAGAGCAGTGAGGACACATGTCCTGCTTGCCCTGTCCACCATGCCCTGGAGCCACCAGCCACACACAGAGTGACAGTTTGGATCTATTGAGTGATAGAAAATACATTATTTAAATTCATTTCACCTGCTTTTCAATTTCTTTTTCTTTCTTTCTTTTTCTTTTTTTTTTTGAGTTGAGGTCTCACTCTGTTGCCTAGGCTGGAGTGTAGAGGTAGGATCATGGCTCACTGCAGCCTCAACCTCCTGGGTACAGGCAATCCTTCAAGCTCAGCTTCCTGAGTAGCCAAGACTGAAGGCGTATGCCACCACGGCTGGCTAATTTTTTAATTTGTTGTACAGATTAGGTCTTGCTATGTTGCCTAGGCTGGTCTTGAACTCCTGGGCTCCAGCAATCCTCAGCCGCCCAAAGTGCTGAGATTACAGGAATGAGCTACCAAATTCGGCCTCAATTTCTTTTAATGTGGCTCCTAGAACATATAACATGACACGTGTGGCTCACATTACAAATAGTATTTCTATTGAGCAGTGTTCCAGCTTCCCATGAGACCATTTCAGTGGTGAGACATTTTCTGGCCAATTACTACTTTGAGAATCCTAATGACAAGCCCTCATAATTGCAATCAACTGGAACAATCTTAAAATGCAACCATCCACCAACTAGAAGGACCTGCACATAGTAGGAGTAACAGTTAAACAGATTTCCTCACAGCAGGAGTAACCATTAAACAAAACAGCCTCTAAGTATTTAGTTCCCTTACCTCCTGCACTCAGCCATGCCCCAAGAGTTGGCAAGACCAGTCAGGGTCCTCTGGCAAGAATCCTCTACTCACATAACACAGCAACTATTTCAGGAGCTAATGCTTGTAAGTTTTTGAAAGGCATGAATTGGTGTGTTTGTTTTCTGTTGCTTTGCTGATCTGCTACTGCTAATGAAGGGTATAAAAATCTTAATTCCAATAGACAAATCAGGTTGAGAAGTCAGGGCGTAACCCTTCAGTTTCTGTTCAATAAATGGATTAGACGTGTGGTCTCTCAGAGTAGGAAGAGACTCAGAGGCCATCCTGCCCAACCCTTGAGGTTTCCGCTACAGCATCTCCGCAGGCGCTGTTTCCCATAGGTTTGCTCACCACTGAGGAAGCTACTATTCTATTTCTATCTCTAGGGGTTCTGATCTCCCACCTGCTGGCCCTAGATTCCTCTAAAGTGTCAGAGTTGGTCTAATTTCTCTTTTATGAGCAAATCTTTTAATTAGGTGAAGACTGTCATCCCTCTTCAAGTCTTTTTCAGATCAAATATTATTTTGTCTTGGTCCTTTCTAAAAGCAAAAAATGGTGTTTGGCTTCTTAACCTTCTTGGCTGCTCTCTTTGGAAGCTGTTATGCTGATGTCTGCCCTTATAGTAGGGTAGCCAGACTTCAGGAGTTTACGGCAGGTTCTAAAGCTAAGCTTTCACTTCCCGTGCTCTAGACACTATCATCTATTTAAATCACTCTGTGTCTTCCCACCTGGCTTTCTTGAACCCTAATTTCTTGCTATCGCTACATTACCCCTTCTGACTCAGAAAATAACAGACATATAAGTCTGTGAAACTTTTGTATATTGATATCGAAAACAAGATCTGTAGTGATTCACATCCCTGGTTGTACAAATAAATACCATTGGCTAGGTCCAGTCCAAGGAGGGAGACCCTCTGGGAAAAGGGCCTGGGCTTAGGCATTTTTTAGAACCTCCAGGTGATCATAATACACATCCAGGCCTGAACTCCCATATAAAGAAATCATAAATCTGATCCTCATATGGATTCCAGTTACTTTCCCCCTCAAACTGTGAATCTGAATTTTTTATTTTGAATTGAACTAGTAAAGCTGACTTGTGTCACTGGACACAACTTGAGGTTATTCAAATCATTTGGAAATTGGACCCAAAGAGAGGTGAAGTTCATTTAGTAACAATTGAGACCTAACTGAAAATCAATTAAAAAAAAAAAAAAAGGCTTAGGAGACCTGGTTTATACTTGGTGCATATGCTAATTAGCTGTGTGATCTGAGCACATTGTGAAACCAACCACATTGAAGCTTCTTCATTTATAAAATGAAGGCACTGGTCTAGAAGTCTTTAAGATGCTCTAAGTTTCTGATTCAATTCCAGAAAAGAAGTTACAAATGAAAACTTTTAAAGTTGCATTCTGCTCCCATTTTGAAAGGATGGGAGCTTCAATAGGGACAAAAATATTATTAGAATGTCCAAATTGCCATTCAAATGTTACTTATAATTTTTATTCCTGATTTTAACTGCCCTTACACTTAAAGGAGAAAGAGGTTAATTTTTTACTTGAATGGCTAGTGATCCCTCAATCTTTTGTCCTGTGTCAAGGCCACAGTACCCATTTGGGGTGGATCTACAGGCACAAAAAAGCAGCTTGGTAAGTCAGCAAAATCGAGTCTGAGAGTCGAGTTTCTACCTCTACCCTGCTAATCACTATGCCTCAGTTTTCTTATCTGTGAAATGCAGATGAGAACCCCATTTCAGAACTTCAATTTCTGAAGAGGGTTGAAGTAAAATTTTTAAAAACAACATTTAAAACTATACAGAAGTTTAATTGTTTAACTTTGCTTTACTATTTCAAAACATTTATTCAGCATTGACCATGCAATGTGTATTCGTAGTCAAGAGTTTAGAGACATACATACCAGGAATTCTGTTGAGTGTCACCCAGAAATGTTCATCAGGGCTATAGGTGTCCTTGGACCAGGAGAGTAAGTCAAGTGCAAGCTGGTCTTGGAGGACAAAGTTAGCAAATTCCCTTGTGAGAGCCACATAGGCCGTGCCAAAGTAAATGGTCATGTTGTGAGGAGGACGCGTTTTTAATTTTGTTGTTTTAAGCACATAGGAATTTTGGTTGTCTAATAATTCTCGGTGGACATATTTAGTCCGTCCAATAGCATGATCAGGAGGCAGCACCCCTGGGGTAATATTTTTCCCTTTAAATCCTTTCAGATACTGAACTATTTCCTTGTTGGTTTTCAGGGGGAAGTCTTGTCCACAGGTGTTGATGGCGTACTTCCAGGGAACCTCGGAGGCCACAAGGTCTTCCAGGCAGTTTAGGTCAGCCTGGAGCCTGGAAATCCCACCATAGACAACTGGCTCCATATTGGAAGCCAGAAAAGCATTTGGGAAGCAGCTCAGCAATTGTTTCACTGCATCTTTAAATGCATCTGTTGCCTTCTGATCCAGATGCACACAGTACACATTTTGGGGCATATAAATCGCCCTGAAGAGTCTCTCAAAAGTGACAAAGTCTTTGTGGATGGTCACTATGTAAGCCAAGGGGAACCCAGCCTCTTCTTCAGAGAGTGTTTCCGTCACATAGTGACTTTGAACCACGTACTCATAACAGGTAGATTCACCAAGGGCAGTTTTCAACGCATTTTCTGTTGGGTAGAAAACCTTCCCCTGAACAATCTGGTGACAGGTTTCTGCTAATATTGAAGCATTGGACAGAGCTGCTCTCAGAAGACGCTTCTTCTCCCACAGCTCATTGTTACAAACAAATACAAAAATGAGGGCCGTAAGAAGAGACACACTAAAAAGACCGTGCTTCCAAGAACCCATAATTCAGAACCGGGAAATGAGTGAAATGTCTCTTGAGACAGGATCAGAGTGTAGATATATTTAACTTACATTTTCTCCAGGATCCAAAACTATCCTCTTGATAGCTGCAGCTCTGGTCGGCTGTTCTGTGTCCTTCAAGCTGCTGGTTCTTGTCCTTTTTGTTCCTTTCCTGCCCTCTTCATTTACCGTTAGGTTGCATTTTCGCTTTCCTTGAACACATTGCTGAAGTCGTTCCTCTGCATTTGCTTCACACGGTCTTCTGCTACCCTGCAACCTGTTTCTACACAAAAGCAAATGACCTCAGAGAGGTTCTGATTCCAACCCGTCTACCTGTCCCCACAGTGAAATTGCTGGTGGGTGAAGTGACCATTCTGCAAGTCATTGCTTTGCAACTTCAACCCCAGCGCCTTCTCCCTGCCACACACTGGAAACTGTGTCAGCTCCCCAGCTTCCTGTTAATCATTGTGTTCAACTGGCAGTGTTTGTTTGCTTAAACAGCTCTACTAAGCTAAAAGCTTCAGTTCGAAGCATGTGAACACCGCCTGGAGAAAAGTTCTGTCAATAAATATGTAGTGCTTAAAAAGAAATCACCTAACCCTGTCTTTTTCCACACCCACACCCTTCTCTTCACACTGGCTGTGTATGCTATAAAGCATGGCATATGACTGGCTATTGGGCCAAATTCTTCCCAGGGCTTAATTTTCTGGGCTGCTTGGTAAGGTCCTTTCAAAGTCACATTAATTAGCGAGCTTACCTCACCACTCAACTTACTGCACAAAGTGACCAGGACTTTCTGATGAATAAGGGCTAACTTCTTTTTTAAAAACACCAAGAGTCGGGTTCGGTGGCTCAGCCTGTAATTCCGCGCCTTGGGAGGCTGAGGTGAGTGGATTACTTGAGCCCGCGGGTACGAGACCCGCCTGGGCAACCTGGCGAGACCTCCTCTCTACAATAAAATCAAAAAAATTAGCCGGGTGTGGTAGCACATGCCTGTAGTTCCAGCTACTTGGAAGGCTGAGGCGGAAGGATCGCCGGAGCCCAGCGGGTCGAGGCTGCGGTGGCCGGGAGCGGCCACTGCACTCCAGTCTGGGTGACAGAGTGAGACTCCAACTCAAAAAAAAAAACAAAACACCAAAAGAAGGCTGGGTTCAATGACTCAGCCTGTAATCCCAGCACTTTGGGAGGCCAAGGCAAGTGGATAGCCTGAGCCCGCGGGTTCGAGACCAGCCCGGGCAACTTGGCGAGACTTCGTCTCTACAATAAATAAAAAATTAGCCGGGCGTGGTAGCGTGCGCCCGTAGTTCCGGCTACTTGGAAGGCTGAGGTGGAAGGATAGCTGGAGGCCAGCTGGTCAACACTGGGGTGGCTGTGAGTGTGCTGCTGCACTCCAACCTGGGTGAAGGAGTGAGACTCCAACTAAAAAAAAAAACCAATAAAAAACCCCCAAACCCCAAAAGAACCAATCGATCCATCATCACCCCAAAATTGCATAGAGGCTACAGTTAGTGAATGTCAAATTGATGTTGCCCTGACCCTTGGAGGATACAGGCAGAGTGCCCTGATGCCTGGAGAGTTGGGAGAGAGTAGCCATCTCCATTTGGGATATTCCCAAACTTAAGGAGAGAGGCTCTTAGGTTCAGATTTAGACATGCTTTGAAGGGAGTTTTTGTATCTATAAAAAACAAGAATAATTTTACCATCCTAAGTCAATCATAAAACTAAAATGAGTAGCATATATAAAGAGTTCATCACTATGTCCAGTAACAGATCGGGCTGGGAGAGAAGAGGCATCATTGTGTGAGAGTAAACAAGAAGCCCATTTACACACACACATACACACACGTACACACATGTACCCTTCTCCCCATACTCATACTTCAAGTAAATGACACAATTGCCACCTCTCCTTTGAAATCTTCTCATTCCTCCCTCCCTCCCTCCCTCCTTGGTGAGCCTGTACCACTTAGATTATATGTCTAGAACAGCACAAATGAGTTTTGTATCATTTGACAGTTAACTGCACATGCTGTGAAAGCATTTCCCCTTTGGCCCCAAGCTCACATATTCCTCATCTTTTCTAACTCCTAGCATTATCTGTAGATAATCAAATTCTTATTGAGTGAATGCTCAAGTTTTCATTTTTCTGATTACATTAGTGAGAGACTGCAGGTAATACTGATTTGTAAGAGATGTATAGTTGTAGATTTATGGTACACTCAACAAACCTATTAGTCCCAAAATGTCTCCTTAATTATAAAGATGATGTAATGTTACGTTACGGGTAGTTTGTAAACACAGTGTCTTCACATCCTGTCCTTTCATTTGCCTCTTGCTCATCGACATACACATTTTTATTTTACCAAGAACATGAGGAGATGCGGGTTTACATCCTGCTGCCTTTTGCGATATTATAGCATAGCATTTTCCATGTGCTTCTTGGTCTTCATTGGCATTCCTTCGTAATCATTACTTCATAGCATCAGACTGGAGTTGTTGCTGTTGCTTTCCCCCCAGTCTGGCTGAAAGCTAATGCCTGAATGAAATGGTTGCTAGTTCTGTTTCACATATCAGCAGCACAGGAAATGGTGACAAGAAAGGAACCAGGGAAAATTCTCTAGAACTCAGTGAGTCAGTCTTCAGTGTTTTAAGAATCAGATACATAGCTTGATTCAGACACACCCAGTCTTGTCCACAGGACCCAAACAGTAGAATTTTACCTACCCAATTAATCTATTTTCTTACCTAGATTTCATGCCTATCTATAATTATTTCGAACAAGTCACTTCTTCAGTACAGTAGTCATACAAAAGCAATCTATTCTAGAATAACTACAATTTCTTCAATTTTTGTTTTACTTTTAATGTCCATTTAGGTAGGCATTGTCCACATCAAATAAAATTGACTACAGGGATGATTAAAAGAAGTTGTCAGTGCTGAATTTGCTTATTTAAACTAGTCGAGTAATTTTTACAGTCTTTTCTCCTAATTGATCTGGTTAATTACACCAGCTCTTTATTTGTTTATTTTGGCTGTCACCTTATTCTTGGCCCAGTTCTATCTTGCCAAATATCACAGGCATAAAAGTATCTTGAATTATTCGACCGCCCTTTGAATTTACAGCTCATTGGATTTAGTTACAAAGTGATGAACATTTTTTTTTTTTTTTTTGAATCAGGGCCTTACTCTGTCACCCCAGCTGGAGTGCAGGTAGCAGGATCACAGCTCACCACAGCCTCAACCTCCTGGGTTCAGGTGAGCCACCTGCCTCAGTCTCCCAAGTGATGGGACTACAGGTGCATGCCACTACCCTTGGCTAATTTTATGATTTTTTTGTAGAAATCAGGTCTCCATGTGTTGCCTAGGTTGGTCTCGAACTTTTGAGCTCAAGCAAGACTTCCACCTTGGCCTCCTAAAGTGTTGGGATTACAGGCATGAGCCATTGTGCCAGCCTGATGAACACCTGCATTTTGTGCTGCAGGTATTAGTAACGTTCGCACCTCTTTACTTGTACCTCACCTAAGATGCTACAAGGATCTTTTGACTTTGAACTCTGGAAACATTCACGAGAAACATTTCACGAGTATCATAAAGATACTATTTAAAAATAGTATCTTTGGTTGGGCACAGTGGCTCAAGCCTGTAATTCCAGCACTTTGGGAGACCAAGTCGAGAGGACTGCCTGAGACCAGGGGTTTGAGATCAGCTTAGGCAACTTGGCAAGACCTCATCTCTACAATAAGTCAAAAAATTAGCTGGGCATGGTGGCGCATGCCTGTAGTTCCAGTTACTTGGAAGGATGAGGCAGGTCAAGGCTTCGGTGGCTGTGAGCATGCCCCTGCACTTAAGCCTGGGCGACAGAATGAGACTCCAACTAAAAGAAACCCATAAAATAGTATCTTTGACAATGCTAGGCATTTCAAAAAGAGTTAATAGTATCTTATTTTCTTTTTCATCAACCTAGTGCTATCTGATGCTTTGTCTTTTGGTAGACACGTGGAAAACATGACCCTCTGACTTTCCTGATGCCCTTTTGCAATCTACCACTCATTATTTTCCTAAATTCTGGGCTCTATGTTCTTGCATTTGTGCAAAATAATGGGAGGGGATGGTAGTGAGTGACCAAAGAGAACAGAGATTGTTCATCCCAGCTTTAGCATTAGATCAAAATTAATACCCCAATTCTGAGTTGGAGGTAGTGATCAAGTAGGAAAAAGAGTTCTGACCAATTGGGAACCAGTATAGACTTGCAGTTTGGTCACTCAGTAAATGGTTGGGTATATATTATGTGCAACCTCTAATGGGTTATTTCTCCATAACACATACTCATAAATTCTTATTCTGGGACATAAACTAATTTTTATGGCACTAAGATAACTGCACTTAGAGTTTAATCTCAAAAACTGGCTGTAGAAAGGGAAGCAGAAGCCGGGCTCGGTGGCTCAGCCTGTAATCCTGCGCCTTTGGAAGGCTGAGGTGAGTGGATCGCCTGAGTCCGCGGGTTCGAGACTCGCCTGGGCAGCGAGACCTCATTGCTACAATAAATCAAATTATCAGTTGGGCATGGTAGCGCATACCTGTAATTCCGGCTACTTGGAAGGCTGAGGCGGAAGGATCGCTGGAGCCCAGCAGGTCGAGGCTGCGGTGGCCGGGAGCGGCCACTGCACTCCAGTCTGGGCGACAGAGTGAGACTCCAACTAAAAAAAAAAAAAAAAAGGGAAGCAGAAGGTCTTCCTTTCTATGGATGTGAAGCTCATTATCTTCAACTTAATTGTTCACAGACTACATGACGCCCAGAGAGCTTTTCACATATTCATTTTTTCGTGCTATCACCTCTGTGCCCAAGTTAGAAAACAGAGAGACTGATGGAAACTTTCTCAGTGTACACGAAAGCCCGGTGAGGTTTCAGAGAAAGAACAGCTCAGATTAAATTGATTTTTAAGTCTGAAGTGCCCAGCCTGGACGACATAGCAAGACCCCATCTCAACAAAAAATAAAAATAAAACAAAATATTAGCCAGGTGTGGTGGTGTGCATGTTTAGTCCCAGCTACTCAGGAGACTCAGATAGGAGGATTGCCTGAGCCTAGGGGTTCAAGGCTGCAGTGAGCTATGATGTCAAGCCTGAGTGACAGAGTACGAGCCTGTCTCAAAAATAAAATAAAATAAATCTGAAGTGCATTGATATTTTGTCCTTTTTCACCATTCCA